TTTAATCAGTCTTTGAAATCAGTTTTTCCTCCACGTCTTAGATTCGGGTGGATATTGAATTTCCTTTTGGGACCAATGCTGCTACTTTTAAAAATTATTTTGATTTCCCATTTTTAATATTATACACTGCCCAATGGCCCTCTATGTTCGATAGATACATTTTTCCCTCATATATCTTAACTGGCTCTAGCAGACATGGTTTTTAGCTATTAGTCAAAACCTGATATTCAAAGTCTCCCAACTTTACTTACATGAGTGCATCAATCAGGAGAACTTCCTCAAATTTGGATAATAAACAAATATAGGTTTTATTTTTAAAAAATTCCAGATGCTTCTGCTTCTCTATTTTTACTTTTTACATTTTTACTTTACATACCATTCACAACTTTATTCTGATTTGTGAATTCAGTCTTACGTCTTGCTGGCTTATTGTTAAACCATATATTGATCTACCTTTAAACATCTGTATATAAATTTCTATAAATAAAGTTAAGCAATTCTAAATTATTGCAAATATACCTAAAAACATTAAGCCTCTATTCTTTAGCATTTGTCTAATCCTGGGATATTGTTATACATGACATTAGGACAAGAAGGAAAAAAGATGAATCTGCAGAAAAACAAAACTTGATTTGATTCTTAGTTAGAAACTAATATAGTAACATTTTACCTATAATGCTTTATAATAGATGGCTCTACATGATATTCTGAATCAAAAGTAACCAATTATTTATTATTAGTCTGATTTGTCATGTGAACCCAGCTGATATGATTAGCTGATGGTTCCATTACATCATACAAATATAGAAAATAGGGTTAACTAAATTATCTATGTGTTTCAATAAGCCATTGATAAATGCATCGTGTGAACACAATCATTACATTAAAAATGCTTGGACAAACTACCTATAGGAAAGAAATAGTACTTTATCCAACTGGAGAATGGAAAAATTTCCCACATAATAAAATTTGCATTAGGTTTTCACATTTTTTTATTTACAAGTCTAGAAGGCGCTGATATCAAACTGTGAAAAAGGAACTGTCTTTTTTCTATTTGTCTCATTTAAAGGCAAAGATCTAAACTAAATGTTACACATCTTCATGAGTAAATGGCTATTTTTCCAAATGAAAAATAAATCTTAAATATCACAGTCTGGAGGTAAGAAATGTGAGCACGTTTTTCCCAAACTCACTGATAAAATATCAAGATTTTACATCACATTTTTAAATTTATCCAACATATTTAAAGTCTGCTTTTCAAAGATCTAACCTTAATAATAAAGCTTTCAGCCAATAAAGGATATAAAAACATTTAAACTTTTACTGAAAAACTGTACAGTCATTCAGAAAGTAAAAGTACATTTGAAGTTTAAAGAACTTTATAAAACTTCCTTTAAATGCTTCTACTCTCTTTCTATTCCTCTGCAGCCAATTGCACAATTCTAAGGCTATTTTTCTTTTTTTTAAAAAAAACAGTTACTAATGCATGCATTTAATGACTTCAATTTAGCACATTCTCATGTATTCATAATCTGAAGAGACTGAAATTCAGTTCACAGCTCAATGCAAACTGTTCTCTTGCGCTTTGTTTTATATTTGTCATTTTTGCAATATTTTGAAGTATTTTGTCTAAAAATATTGTTCTTCATTTCAAACATCCAAGCTAAACAATATAAAATGCAATGTCAGGATAAAGCTTAATCTGATGTTTTGTCCCTTTTAGCTCAATAGACTGTTGACAGTACAAGGTAAGGGCTGACAGTAATGGATTTGATTATCAGCACCATATCTTTAATAATTGAAATGTTGTTAGCTCTACAGACAAGTAAGAATGGTTTTAGCACATCGATTTTAAGCTGGCAATGATAATTTAAACAAGCAAGCAACAAATCATATACCAGCTATAATTCTTATCTTGCAGTTTACTGTAAAGAGAAGGACTGTCAGATGCCCATTCTTTCCAAAGCAAACTAATGGCCAAAAAACTTGGCCACAAAGCAGAAATCTCTATCCAGCAGTTCCAGAAAGTCTTTAATATTCCAATCAACAAGTAGCCTTATATGCGGAATCCTTAAAACCCCATTGCAGGCCCATTCCACATAACACTGCCTAAATGAAATTTGCCTAGCAAATGCTTTATTTCAGGAAATGGTCTGTGCATGTCTCCCTGATTAAAAATCTTACATCAGCACTTTAAACTCCTTTTCAAGAGAACTCCCTAGATACCACAGAAAGAAAAAAATAAATCCAAACAAATGAAAATAGCTTTATGACAGGGAAAAAAACTTAAACTGACAGCAACGATCATAGCACAAGGGAGAAAGTAAGAATATATGTAAAGATAAGTTTATTATATCTCTTGCAATATTATTCAGAGGAAAGGAAATGTATCATATCCTAGCAAAAATCAAGGGGAATTATATTTCATTTCATATACTTTGCCTGCCCTAAAGTGGAAACATCCTTCTGAAGTTAAAGGAAGGTCCCATTCAATTTTACCATTCTGGGACACACAAAGGAAGAAGGAATAGAATTTCCAAGGCTGATGGCACTGACAGATTCAAACTCAGAAGCAGGTAAGAATAGCCAGGCTGAATCAGGCCAAATGCCCTTCCGATCAAGCATTCTGATGTGCCCACCCCACCCATACCAATGGGAACCCACAAGCAGGATTATGATGCATTAGCACCCTCCAATTGATGTTTCTACCAACTGATACCTATTGAGAGAGACATAGGGCGTCATAATACACAGTCGTCATCATTATCCATGGATCTGTTTAAATTTGTTTTTATTTTAAGTTTTTCAAACTGGGAACTCCCATCTCCCATGGTTTGTGGTAGAGAATTCCGTAGTTTAACTGCACACTTCTTCAAGCAATTTCTTTTTTCTGTCTGAATCCCAAAGTATTCAGCTTTGGGGTGGGGAGAATTCTAATATCAGGAGAACAACAAAAATCCCTATTTAATCTCTTTATACTGTGCCTAACTTCATATGTTCTGTCAAGCCTCCTTTTGCTTAAAATCTAAAATGGTGTAGCTTCTTTTCATTGGGGCCGATTCACTGAACCTTTCGACTGCTCTAATTGCACAATACCCTCTTGAAATGTCAGGACCAGAAGTATAAGCAGCATTCCAAGTATGGTCACAGCAAGGGGAATAGGCAAAGACATTGAAGCATTTGGCAGTGATGTTTTCAATTCCTTTTCCAATGATCCTTAATGCATAGTAGAATTCACTCTTTCACAGAAGTCATACATTAGATCAATGTTTTTGCCACAGCCTCAAGATCTCCTTCCTGATCAGATGGACATCCTTGCACCCCAGCCACTGAAACAAGAAATGGTTTGAGCCTCCATTTAGAGCAATGGTTCTCAACCTTCCTAATGCCGCGACCCTTTAATACAGTTTGTCATGTTGTGGTGACCCCCAACCATAAAATTATTCCTAAAACCATTGAAAATATGTGTTTTCCGATGGTCTTAGGCGACCCCTGTGAAAGGGTCGTTCGACCCCCAAAGGGGTCCCGACCCACAGGTTGAGAACCACTGATTTAGAGCCTCAGTGGTGCAGTGATTAGAGTGCAGTACTGAAGGCTACTTCTGCTGACTGCCGGCTGCCTGCAATTTGGCAGTTCAAATCCACCAGGCTCAAGGTTGACTCAGCTTTCCATTCTTCCAAGGTCGGTAAAATAAGGAGCCAAATTCTTGGGGGCAATATGCTGACTCTGTAAAACTGCTTAGAGAGGCTGTAAAGCACTGTAAAGCGGTATATAAGTCTAAGTGCTATTGCTATTGGCCAATCTCTTATACATTTTCTTATTTACACAGAACCTACTTGTTCTCCCAGCTGGAGACTTTCCAATGTCTTTTTCTTTTGTCTCTTTTTCTTTTAACCATCCATAATAAGTTAGTCAAGTCAACAAACCTGGCAAACACGATTACTCACCTGTGAAATGTCTACTTCAACAGATCAAAAGAAATGAAGTCTTTAATTAGCTACCATCCCATCTAAAACCAGGCTTGTTTCCCTCTTGAGAGATGTAGTGACAGAGGGCCAGAGGTAGAAGGCAAGGCACTCCCAAAATTGACTTATCTACACAGTCTCTCCCGTCTATCTTCCACCCAAGCCAGAAGGACGTGTACACACATACCCGCTGATATTATGTATCTGTTAATGGGCTTCCACGGGCAAAAGATGCTACTAACCAGTTTCCCTTATCAATAAAGCAGAATGTTCATGTTTACCGAACAGAGACAACCCCCCCACCCGCACGACACTACCAAGCAGCAATCCGAGTCTAGGTCCTTATGTCCTTAAGCCCCCCCCCATTTCCTCCTAGTTACGGAAGGATAAACATTAACAAGCTGCGGGTGTGACGGGGGGGGGAGAGAGAGGACAGTACCAGGATCGGGCCGCTCACGCGGTGCCAGTCCGAATGCGGGGAATGGTCAGCAGCCCCAGTCGCCACCGCTACCGCCAGCAGGCAGGAGGAGCGAGAAGGGCACCGAACGAAGTCCGAACTGGGTGCAAGAAGGCGTCCCGCAGCCGCTCGCATCTGTTGCTGCTCCAAAGGAGGCATGAGATCGGCGGCCCTTTCTCCTCTCCTCCCCCCCCTCCTCACAATCTCCTTGTGCCGGTTCTCCGCTCGGGACACAGGCAGGAGCGAAGAGCCAGGCTTCTTACCTGAAGCGACTCGTTAGCCATCTCCGCCTCTCCGTTTCCCGCCAAGTCTCCGCTGGCTTCCTCCTCTTTCGCGTTGTTCCAGGGGAAGCGGCTGCTCCCCGGGGCGCCCTTACAGCTCCAGCCGATCCGCCATCCTCTCCTCCGCCGCTGGTTGGCGGGGCGTATAGGGAGCCGTTGAGCCCCACAAGGGGGCGGTCCAGCCACCCACAAACAAGCGGCGGCCGAGCGGACCAAAGGAAGGAGGACTACGAAAGCTTCACTTTAAAGCAGCAGCTTTTGCTCCGGCGGGCGGGCAGCTGCCTGCAGTGGCGGCGGTGGCTGCAGTGGCTGCAGGAGGAGTAGCAGCAGCAGCTTCGTCTCGCCGCGGCCTCAGAAACCTTCGGCCGGAGTGCTTGAGCGGCACAGAAATGCCCTCCCTTCTCCTGACCCGAGTACAGTATGTGCCACTCGCTCTTATTGTTGCTGCGGCGTCGGCCGCGCTGGCTCGCTCCCTCCCAGCACCCAACTTGCCGGGCTGGTCACGTGGGCGGGGGAGCTGCGAGCGGAGTCGAGTCGGGGGAAGCGGCGGGGCGAGGACGAGGCGGAGAGACTATTGTGGCTGCGGGGAGGGAGCTGACCGAGACGGCTACAGGCGCTACAGCTTTTGCGGCTTGTTTGCCGCAGCTGCGAGAGGCGGCAGCCGCGCGCTTTTCTAGGCCTCCGTCTTTCCATTTTCGGAAAGGAAAACAAGAGATTAGCAGCAAAGGGAGGAAGGGCTAAAAGGAAGAAACTGGACCCCATTATTTTCCTTCGCTGTGCTTTGCAGAGCCTGGGCTGGGGGAGCAGTTCTCTTCGCTCCTAAGGACAGGGCGAGGCTGCTCTTGGACACTCGTTTTTGGAGAAGGAGGCCTGGCTTCCGTTTTAGAGGCTACCCAGCTGCAAGGCGCCTTTTCTCTCCGCTGCTCGCCAGCCCAGAGTTGAAACCTGGACCTACCATTAGGAGGAGGAATGAAAGAGCTACCGTAGAGACCCGATTTGAGGAGTTGTAAAAAAAAAAAGAATACCTCAAATTCTGTTTAAATGTATTTTTTTCCCCCTAAGAAAAGCAGTTACGGACTTGCCTGCCTTAGAAAGTTCTCCTACGCGAGAAGCCCTGGTGGATCAGGTGCTGCTAGATATTTGGGGAGCTACATTTCAGTATCGCTGCTACTATCCTAGCAGTTTTTCCTCTTTTCTACACATCCTTAGTAGAGGAGTTGCCACCCATCTTTTTGGAACGCCGTTCCACTTCCTTTATCGAATTCTTTGGTTATGCTTTATTTTTTTTAACCAAATGTCTCTCAGAGTAGCTCAAGTACAGTAGTGCAAAATGCAACTGAAAAATAGATTATTGCGCCTGGAACACTGTTTATTTGAACCATTAGGCCACCCCTGATTTCTCCCAATTTTAGCCCTAGACTCCCCTCCCCAATCTTTGTTAAAATAGCCTTTCACAAGAGTAAAAAGGGCAGCAGTCTCATTGTATCCTCTTATTACTGTAAACTCTATAACAGTCCTAAAAGGGAGGTTTATAGCAATATATCTATAAAGAAATGTTGAATTGATTAATATTTGGAACACTAAGAGTAGCCCTATATCCACTTTTCATCTGATAGACTCATTCACTGGCTGGTTTGACCCTGGCTTTGTCTGGTCGAATTTAAGCAGAATTAAGTGTGATACTGGAAGAAGTGTCTCTGCCCTTTATCAATGGGGATGGAAAGATTCCCCTTGTGATTGTAGTACTTTATATGCAAAGTATTAAACATATTGTGCAAGATTGTCCATGATGTGTTCTCTGGTTCCCTAGATCTAGAAGCTCTACAATGAAGCAATACAGAGGTGATCACCTGGATAGCTGAATTGAACATCCAGTGCCATACCCCCATAGAGGTTTTACTTATAATTATGTGGACTGTGTATATATATTTACTTCTGTCATGTTCTCATCATATGCTAAATAATAATAATACACTGGCTAGGCCATGGTTATTTGTAGTAAGTGCTCTGTTGTTTCCTTCTCTTTCAAAACATTGGATTCTTAACTAAATATCCACCCAAATAATCCCAAATCTTTAAAACTTCTCCAGGTCCTATTTTTTTTTGTAGTGGTAGTAATGATAATTATACGTAGTATGTGCTTATAACAAGTGCAGTAAAGGTAGATTAAAATTATGTACAACAGTAAACAGTAATTCATTATAATATAAATATTTCTGAATGGTAGGAAATCTATACTATAAATCAGCAGTCCTCAATCTTTCTGACACAAGGGACTGGTTTGGTGGAAGATAATTTTTCCATTGGGGGGGAGGGGGGGAGAGGATGGTTTCACACGCAGCCTAGATTCCACATTGCCACAGCCCAGTTCCTTACAGACCACGGACCAGTACCATTCTGCAGCCCAGGGGTTGGGGAGGGGCTGCTATAAATGAGTGAATAATGAAAAAGGCTTTTTTAGCTTCACAGAATTCCTGCAAAAATGTGTGTGGGGGGGGAGCTTTTAAAACTTCAAGGGATGAGCCCTTATTCAAAGGAGATGATTCCAGGAATAGAAGCTAAATGGGGAAAGGCTCTAAAATATAAAGTAATCAGTTTAAGATGAAGCAAAACTAATCAACTTTGATTGCATGATTGAGCCAAGTACACGGGTTCATGAACTGTAATCAAGCTATTAAAATAACTTGCATTCAGTCAACACATATTTGTAGGATTACAACCTGCACATATGTTAAATATGTTTCATTTTTTGCATCAACATTGTATACATTCAGATCCTTCCATTATTTAACATCCTAACTTGAAAACAAAAAGGCAGTGGTTAAATTTGACTCAAAAGGACAGGCTGCCAGGAAACAAATTCCTAATCCACAAACAAGTTTATTCTTCATTTTGCATTCTGATTTTATGATTAATATTTATAGTAATAATATTAAACACCTTACAAATTATGCAAGGCTAATGTTAGATCAGGGGTTGGGAACTATGGCCCTTTTATGACATATGGACTTCAAGAATTCAGGAATTCTGGGAGTTGAAATCTACAAGTCATAAAGGGGTCATAATTCCCACCTCTGTGTTTTGTTTTTTTTTATTTTGATTTATATGCCGCCCTTCTCCGGAGACTCAGGGCGGCTTACAATGCTTTAAGCAATAGCCTTCATACTCTTGTATATTTTATACAAAGTCAGCTTATTACCCCCACAACCGGGTCCTCATTTTACCTACCTTAGAAAGGATGGAAGGCTGAGTCAACTTTGAGCCTGGTGAGAATTGAACTCGCAGTAATTGCAGGCAGCTGGAAGCTAAATATTACCTTTAACAGTAGCATTAGTCTGCTGCGCCACTCATGTGTTAAATGATTAACATTTTTTGTTTGCTTCTTGTAATTACAATAACCAGTTATAGCCAGAGTCCTTGTTTAAATCATATGAGGCATTTAATTTTTATTAAGAATAAATTTATGGATAAGAAAATGGCAAAATGTAACTTCTTATCATTGCTTGTCTTTGCCACCATCAATAACTGTGTTTAAAAAAAAAACTATAAAATACAGTTTTTTTGGGGGGGGAATACATTATTTATTCCATCTCCTTGGTGAACTGATTCGATTCAGCATTTGAAAGGGGGCTGATCCAAAAATCTGAGGGAAACCTATATTAATCACTAATGTAGATTTGAACAATAAGATTTGCTTAAAAGCATTTTTGTTTGTGTATTTGCCCATATTTATTGTCACAGAATTGTACTATATGATACAAGAATTCATTTAAGTTCATATAACTCCTTATATACTATTAACTGTCAAAATCAGTTCACTCATAATTGTATATAAGGACCTCTTCAGTTTTAAAAAGAAAGTTGATAATTACCAAGGTTATGGTCTAGCTTGGGAAATTGTAAAACATTCCAGCAGAAAGTAATGGCAAACTAATGATATACTGTTGCCAAGAACTGCATGGATGTATGGTATGTATCCACTGAGTCATTAAGTTCAACTTGAAAGAGGCATAAGGAAGTTATCAAAACCTTTGTCATAAGCACAGAACCAAGTTTCTTAGCGCACTGTCTCAAAACTGCTGATCTTCAGGATTTTCTATAAATAGACAACTCAAGCAACACATTTGCTATGAATTATTTTGGTACACTCATACCGTAAAGGCTTCAAGTCTTTTGAAAAGTCACCCTCATTTCAGTAGAAGTTTCAACTAGAGCACTGTTTTCTACTTGAATTATTAGAAAACAAATGAGTTATATGGAATCTGCTAATGGATTGTATCTATGTAAAAAAGAATCTAAGTATGTACTTTTCTAGATATGTTATTTTAGTATACTGAACTGGTCATATATCCATTACCACAAGCCAAATCCACATTGTATCATATCTACTTGTAAAATTTATTTTTGTCTTGATGTATTTCCGTATGGTCACAGTTTGACTTGCAGTAGGGTAGTAAAATGTAATATTGTAGCTTACAGTAAAGCAGAGTATTGCACTATTTTATAGCAAAAAATAAATGTAATAGCTGCAGAATAAAATAGCTGTAAAAAAGATGTTTGATAACATTATACAACATATCTCAAAGGGCTTACTGAAAAATTGTTTACATCAACCTTTCAAATATGGACAGAAATAATCCATCCATGTTATATGGATAAATAAATACATTTATTTATTTCATTGTATTTATATCTGATCTCTTTTGTGCCATCTTCACATTGTTTTCAGGTTAAGTAACAGCTATTACCCCTACAGTTAAAACTGGCAATTGCCCTGAAAGTTCTAAGCCACTTGGAATAATTTTATCTCACTTTCTTCTACATGTATTTCATTCATCATCTAACGTCTTTCTCTTTTACCTCTGAAAGTATCCTTGAGATACGGAAGCAAACTGCTCAGCGGTATGCTCATGGAACTCTTCCAAAAGTTTATTGCTTCCCTCCTGTTTCAAGAGAGTGGCAAAATAAAATAATTTCCCTGATCTTAAATCTGTTTTATAATCTTTCTGATCTGATGTATTTTTTTAAACTAATCCAATTCTTTTTGCCCGTCTTGTTTTGCCATTTTAATTTCTGTTTCTTACTCTACAAATTATCTTGGGACTGAAAGCAGGAAGGGAAACGTGTAAAATAAACACAATCATATGCATAGCGTTCTGACTCAATTAAAATTTCTGAACTGTTCAGGAGCACATTAGAAATATAACAATAACTCCGACAAAGGTAACTATAGCATGAATAATGCTCTATTCCAGTTTTAATTTTGCCAAGAAAAGAGGCAGCTATTATGTCAGAAAAACCAGCTAAATCAGCAGAGGCCCTTGATAATGCATAGAGAACGAAGCCAAATTCAGGAGTACCTCAAACTGTATTCCAACCATACTGCTTTAAGGAGACAACAATTCTTGAACATATATTAAAATACATGCCTCCACCCAGTGAATCAATTTTCCCAACCAATAGTAGCCCTCTTACGTAGATTAATCTTCCAATTATTCATTCAAAATCAATCCAAATTATTTGCAAACTACCACAGTCCAGAATATAGGAAAGCTAAAGATGTGCAGAAAAAAAAGAATATCTGAAATATCTCTGCTCTTTGAGATTAGTGACAGCATGTTTTAGGAAGGAACAAAAGAGTACAGGTACAGCTGCATACGTGTCAATGATTGTTATAGTAACAGACATAGATTTAAAGTCACTTTATCTTGAGTATGTTGAGTAAAGGTAAAGGTAAATGTTCCCTTCGCACGTATGTGCTAGTCGTTCCTGACTCTAGGTGATGGTGCTTATCTCCGTTTCAAAGCTGAAGAGCCAGCGCTGCCCGAAGACATCTCCATAGTCATGTGGCCGGCATACTAAACACCAAAGGCGCACGGAACGTTACCTTCCCATCAGTGGTCCCTATTTTTCTACTTGCATTTTTTACATGCTTTCGAACTGCTAGGTTGGCAGAAGCTGGGACAAGTAATGGGAGCTCACCCCATTATGCAGCACTAGGGATTTGAACCACTGAACTGCCGACCTTTTGATCGACAAACTCAGCGTCTTAGCCACTGAGCCACCGCGTATGTATGTCCTTATCTAGTATGTATGTCCTTATCTAGCATGGTGAGACCCTTTCTGTTATCACTTAAATCAGGGGTGTCAAATTTGCGGTGTTACATCATCACACACGACTTTTTCCTTCACTAAAACAGGTGTGTGTGGCCAGTGCGTGACGCATTCAGCCTGCAGGACATGAGTTGACAGCCCTGCCTTAAATAGATCTTAAATAGATCAGACTTGGCTGTTTCCTCCAGACACTGACTTAGCTAGAATAAGTATCCCTTGAAATTTATTATGTTGACTATTAAAGTATGTTGGTTCCTTAGTTACCACCTTTATTTTTATTATAAGTCTTTAAAGTGTATACCACCTAGAATAATTTTGAATTGAATGGCTTTTAGGGAGGGAGGGAGGAAGGTACAACTCGACATAATAGATTCAATTTCTGAATAAAATATATAAAATGTAATAGTTAATCTGAAGTGATTTTGATGATACATTATTTCAGAATAATTCATATTGATTAAAAGCCTCACTTTTGTGACAAAAGTAGCCAGAATATTGCCCTTGCTTTGTTATAAAAATAGTTTTGATTGTTCATAATATCCCTGAATAACTACATGTTGGTGAAAGCAAGTTCTCACTTTAGATTTGAAGAACATTGCCAACAGTGATCAACAGGTGATAGAGATCATATGTTATTTGAGCCCTCCATTGCAGATAATTTGCATATTTTCCTTCTTTTAATGTTATTTTTAACACATTAATTTTTTATATATACTAAATCTATTGCATTCAGTTGCCAAGTGCCAAATATTTTCAGCATTTATCTATAAACAGGTTGTAGGCAGTCATTCTTTATAAAGCAATCTAATAAGTGTAACACTAAGTTTACCTCTAAGTAAGTTAAATGACACAAAAGTCATTTAACTTACATTTAAAAAAATATTACAAATAGTCACATCAAGACATGTTAGAATCAAATAAAGCGGATATAGACAGAAATACAAGAACCTATGTCCTACTTCAGAATCATTTCTCCCCAAATCTATATATGTGATCACATAAAGGTATAAATAGACATTGTTAGGCATATACAAGTAGTCCTCGACTTACAACCATTTGTTTAATGACCATTTGAAGTTATAATGAAACTGAAAAAAGTGACTTAGGACCGTTTTTCAGACAACTTTGCAGCATCCCTATGGTCATGTGATCAAAATCCGGACACTTGGCAACTGGCATGATCAGCTTTTGTGACCTTCTGACAAGCAAAGTCAATGGGGAAGCCAGATCCCTTTAATAACTATGTTACTAACTGAATAACTGCAGTGCTTCACTTAACAACTGTGGCAAGAAAGGTCATAAAATGGACCAAAACTCACTTAACAACTGTCTTGTTTAGCAATGGAAATTTTGGGCTCGTGGTTGTGAATTGACGACTATGTACACAAAGATTGAGGTCTGTGAAGGGTTCAGGAAGCCAGACTTTGCACATCATGGCAAGAACTAGAATCTGCCCAACTAGTTTCATCTGGCAAGGTTGGAAAACTCCATTAACTCTGTCAGTTAATTCCAGGCCATCCTGTTGGGATCCCCAAGTGTGCCTTCTCTGGAGCATTCTGGAATTAGGTTCCCTGTGAAATTCAAATGGCTCCCATCCTACTGGGATTTCAAAGCACCTTAAAGATCTAGTTCTTCACCCAGGCTTTTGGAGGGGATGATTGATATCCTTTACTTTCTTTCTGTTCCCCTTTGCCATGATTGTCCCCTTGTAGTGCCTGCTTTTAGGTTTTTTAAAAAATTATTCTATTTTTAAAAATGTTTTAACAATTGAGAACAGCCCAGAGTCACTGGGAGTCAGGTGGCATATAAATTTTATAAAATATTGATCACACAGCCAGATGTTTAGACTGGTTTTGGTATTTTAGTACACCTATCAAGTCCTTGCCAGGTGTTGTTTAATAATAATAAAGGTATTGCAGGACGTAAGCTATGCTAAGTATAACTGCCTTTTGCAATTGACTGATGATTTTGTGAAGGCCGATGGTTTTCAAGAGGTGTTTTGAAATTGCATTGAAGGCACCTATTACTATCAACATTATCTTTGCTTTATTTTTATTTATTTTAATAATATTATTTATTACTATTACTCAAACTAGAAAGGAACAAGGAACAAGGGTTAAAAGGGTTTTTGTCCCTTAAACTTTCCCCAACTCTAAAAGTTAGAGAGAAAATGATCAAAATGTATACATCCATTTACTCTGGAACAGATGTAGTGACTGCAAAAGGATACTGATGAGAGACATGAAACTCTTAGCTAGATTGTACTCCTCTCTTAAGCTATGATTTGTTAAACTTTGTTGGTTGACCAAGATACAGTTGGATGCATTCACATACAAATGGTTATATATCATAGTGATTAGGTTCAAAGATTCTTCTGGCAAACAGAACACTTCGTTGCTTAGTAAGATGTTTAAAACCAGTTCATGTGAAACAAAGACTGACAAAAGATGTAAAAATGGTTTGAAAATGTGAATTTTTCTTTGTTCTTCCTTGGCCCAATTTGTGCATTTTTATTGATAAAACTAGAAACACAGTGAGAACTCTGCACTTATTACCATGGTCTGTTATTTCATTGATGTATACGGTATAAAATGAAATTGTTTTGGGTTGGCTTTTTATTTTCCTAGGAATTGAACATAGAAAAACATAGAAAACATATGTTTGCATCCTCTTAAATATGTTACTGATGCTTCATACTACTTCAGCTAAAATTAGATATGACTGAATCAGCAATGAACTACAGAAATTGTTTGAAACCACATTCTGTATTTTCAGTGGGATATGCATTAAAATATATGCTGGAATTGGCCATCGGGGTCCTTGCCACATTCCGGATATGACAAATCTACTTTGTCACCACCACATCATTCCTGGATTCATACATCATACTAAATCATAAGGACTGGTTTGTGAACCACCGTGGCTGGGTCCATACTGATAATCCTCAAGTTACAACTGCAATTAGACTGAAATTTCCATTGCTAAGCAATGCAGTCATAAAACTTGATGTCAAGTGACTATATTGCAATGGTTAAGCGAGGGTCATAGTCATTAAGCAAGCACCTCTTTGTAGCTTCCTGCCAACTTTTATCAAAGTCAATGGGAAAGCTGGCAGGAAGTTGCAAGTCCCAGAAGGTTGACATGCAGGCTAGTAGGCAGGTAAGTGGCTGCTGCCAGGTGGAGAGGGAGAAAGGAATGTGGGTGGCCAAGGAGGTACTACACAAGCACTACTTGAGTTGGCTCCTGCTGGATGGGGGAGGGTATATGTGGCTGGAGAGGCGCTGCATGAGCACACCAGGCCTGGGGAAAGGTGGGTGGGTGGGTGGGCGGGCGAGGGAGACTTACTAGACTAGAGCAACTTACAACTTCCCTGCTGGCTTCTTTCTTGTGGGAAGTCAGCATGGAAGGTCCCAAATGGTGACCACAGGATGCTACAACCATCTTTAAATGCAAGCCAGTTGCCAAGCATCCAGATTGTGATCACGTGACAACAGGAGTACAGAGACAGCCAGAACTTCAGACAGGACCACTTATAACCACCGCTCATTCAGCACCGTTCAGACTGTT